CGACCACGACACGACGAACACGAACACGAACACGACCACGACCACGAACACGACCACGAACACGACCACGAACACGACCACGAACACGACCACGAACACGAACACGACCACGACCACGAACCACGACCGACGAACACGAACACGACCACGACCACGAACACGACCACGACACGACACGACGAACACGAACACGACCACGAACACGACCACGAACCGACACGAACACGACCACGACCACGAACACGACCACGACCACGACACGACCACGAACACGAACACGACCACGACCACGAACACGACCACGAACACGAACACGACCACGACCACGAACACGACCACGAACACGACCACGAACACGACCACGACCACGAACACGAACACGAACACGACCACGAACACGACCACGAACACGACAACGTGAACACAGACGTCACAGCTTCAGGCCTCTGCTCAGAAAAGAGCTTCAGTTACACCAGACTGACTCCTGAGACCTTAACCCATGTTCTAATGTTCTAATGTTCTGATGTTCTGATGTTCTGATGTTCTGATGTTTTAATGTTCTGATGTTCTAATGTTCTGATGTTTTAATGTTCTGAATGTTCTGATGTTTTAATGTTCTGATGTTTTAATGTTCTGATGTTCTGATGTTCTGATGTTTTAATGTTCTGATGTTCTAATGTTCTGATGTTTTAATGTTCTGATGTTCTAATGTTCTGATGTTCTGATGTTCTAATGTTCTGATGTTCTAATGTTCTGATGTTCTGATGTTCTGATGTTCTGATGTTCTGATGTTTTAATGTTCTGATGTTCTGATGTTTTAATGTTCTAATGTTCTGATGTTCTGATGTTTTAATGTTCTGATGTTCTGATGTTCTGATGTTCTGATGTTCTGATGTTCTGATGTTTTAATGTTTTAATCTTCTGATGTTCTGATGTTCTGATGTTTGAATGTTCTGATGTTCTGTTGTTCTGATGTTCTGTTGTTCTGTTGTTCTGATGTTCTGATGTTCTGTTGTTCTGTTGTTCTGATGTTCTGTTGTTTTAATGTTCTGATGTTCTGATGTTCTGATGTTCTGATGTTTGAATGTTCTGATGTTCTGTTGTTCTGATGTTCTGTTGTTTTAATGTTCTGATGTTCTGATGTTCTGATGTTCTGATGTTTTAATGTTCTGATGTTCTGATGTTCTGATGTTCTAATGTTCTAATGTTCTGATGTTTTGATGTTCTGATGTTCTGATGTTCTGATGTTCTGATGTTCTGATGTTTTAATGTTCTGATGTTCTGATGTTCTGATGTTCTAATGTTCTAATGTTCTGATGTTCTGATGTTCTGATGTTCTGATGTTCTGATGTTCTTCTGGTCCCTGGTCACACTCAGAGCTGGAGTTTTGTTTGTTTGAGTTTTTCTTTATTATTCGTCTGTTACATCTGAAAAACTCCAAACTCTCTGCTCCAGCTCCTTTTACTTTTAGTTCATCACAGAACAAAAACACAAAGTGTTTTATTTTTACTCTTTGAGAGTTAAATGTGTGTTGGAGTTGGGGTGATTTGTCAGAGTTGATTTGGTTGAAGTTAATTCAACTTCTCTTAGTGTTAATTTGTCTCCTCCACTTCAAACTCCCTCCAGAGAAGAACCAGTTTGAACCAGTTTTGTTCTGAATTTCATTTTAAATTAACTCAAATAAAGTGTCAAAATAAAACTCCTCTGTGTGTTGTTGAGTTAAATCAGGATAACTCTACAAAGTGTTATCTGTTTACTCTCTAAACCTTCATTTAACTCTGGATTTGGGTTAAACAGGAACTTTGGTCCAGTTTTACTTCATGAACTTTTACACAAATGTTAAATTAACTCTAGAACAGAGTGACTCAGAGAAACTCTGAGGAAATGTTCAAACTGACTCTGTCAGAGTTAAATTTAAGAGAAAAGATGTATTTATTTATTTATCTATTGTTTATATCTATTTTATTTTTTAATACTGCCATTATTTTATTATTTTATTATTTTTGTTCCTTTGGTTTGGAACATAATTCCTCTGAGTTTTTAAAGTCAAATGTTTTTCTGTTGTTGTGTGAAACACTTTGGAAAATGTCGTGTTTATAAAATGTGCGACACAAATAAAGTTGGACTGGAGAAGAGGCTCGGGTCAGATTTAACTCTGAGCTCTTTTCCATCAGTGAGATTCTCCTCATCTCCTCGTCTCCTGAGTCAGACTGAACCTGTTTGAACAGATCCTCATCACCTGAAGAAAAAACATCTGTCCACAGAATCAGACTCCAACTGTCCAACACGAGAAACGACGTCAGGGAGCAGACTGTGGACCTGCACGAGGCTGAACGAGCCACAAAACCATCAACACGAAGCTGAAGGAGAAACTGTTGGTGCGACTGTTTGAGAAATCGGCCGAGAACTCCACGAGAGGAACGAGTCAAAGATCTCAAGGAGCTGGAGCCACAGTCACTAAGAAAACCATCAGGACACTTTCCGTAAAATCCTGCAGCTCCGAGGTCGTCCTGCTGAAGAAGACACATGTGCAGCCTGAAGTTTGTCCATGAACACCTGAAGGATCTAGAGAGGGACTGGGAGAAGGTCTGTGGTCCATGAACACCTGAAGGATCTAGAGAGGGACTGGGAGAAGGTCTGTGGTCCATGAACACCTGAAGGATCTAGAGAGGGACTGGGAGAAGGTCTGTGGTCCATGAACACCTGAAGGATCTAGAGAGGGACTGGGAGAAGGTCTGTGGAGGAGGAGACCAACATCCAGCTCTTTGACTTTAACTCAACTCGCCGTGTTTCGAGGAAGAGAAATGCTCCTGTGACCCCAGAACATCATCCCCACCGTCGAGGACGAAGCTGGAAACATTCTGGACGACTTCACCGCGCCAACGGGAGGAGGGGCGGAGCCTCGTACCGTTAAAATCCTGAGTGACGACCTCCTTCCCTCCAACAGGAACCTGAAGATGTGTCAAGGACGAGTCTCCAACACGACAACGACCCAAAACAAACAACGACGAAGGAGCGGCTCAAGAAGAAGCATGTGAAGGTTCTGGAGCGGCTCAGACTCAGACCAGGACATGAACTTTCACGATTTAGAAATGATCTGCAGAAGAGTCGACCAAAACTCCTTCAGGTGTGAAAAAACCTGAACGACAAGAAAAAAACTGAACCTGAACGACAAGAAACGTCTGAGCTGCAAACGACAAACTGACACCAAGAACCGAGACTTTTTTGGCTCAAAGGTTCAAACATTTGTTTCACTCTGAAATGTAAATCAGTTCAGCCATTTTCTTTAAAGTGATTTTCTGGATTTTGTTTTTGATTTTCTGTCTCTCGCTGTTAAAATAAACCATTAAAATTCTAGACTGATCTTTTCTTTGTCAGTGGCCAAACTTCAAAATCAGGAACAGATCAAATACTGATTTAACTCCACTCGGTTTATTTATTTTCGGCACTTTTAGCTTTAGTTTCTCATTTGTATCATTTCCAGTGTTTCCTGCAGCTGTGAAACTCTTTTGTATGAAAATGTTTTTTAGAAATCAAGTTGGATTGAAATACAAGATTTCACTTTCATCATTTTCTTCTAAAAATACTCAGATGTTTTCCAAGATGCAGAAGATCATTTGGTGAATCATCGTTCTCCTGTAGAACCATAAACATCTGGAACATTCTCCCACATGAAACTACATCATGAACAGAAGAAGAAAAGTCTGGACGCCTGAAAAAAACAACGACTTTAACCAAAAATCAAACCTGTGCACACGAGTGTCGAGTGTGAACGCAGCGACATCGAGTGTGAACATGGAAACTGTGTGTGGACTGAGACTGAACAGAACTGTAGAGTTTAGAGTTTTATGTTTTGATTGACAGAATGAATAATTGCATCAGTATTTATTTTACTTTATTTATTTTATTTTATTTATTTTATTTTATTTGAATGTGTGTTATTTATGACTCGACTGGTTCAGGGACTGAAACTGGACATGAGACATTTTACTTGAACCTTCACAAACACGAGTCTGTGCAGCTCAGTGACAAAAAAACAAATAAACTAAACAAAAATTCATCAGTAAAATATCCACAGAAAAAAAACTACTGGAGAGTTAAAATATCAGAGTAAAATATTTCAGAGTTGTTTTTAACACAAAGTGTTTTATTTTTACTCTTTGAGAGTTAAATGTGAGTTGGAGTTGGGGTGATTTGTCAGAGTTGATTTGGTTGAAGTTAATTCAACTTCTCTTAGTGTTAATTTGTCTCCAACACTTCAAACTCCCTCCAGAGAAGAACCAGTTTGAACCAGTTTTGTTCTGAATTTCATTTTAAATTAACTCAAATAAAGTGTCAAAATAAAACCCCTCTGTGTGTTGTTGAGTTAAATCAGGATAACTCTACAAAGTGTTATCTGTTTACTCTCTAAACCTTCATTTAACTCTGGATTTGGGTTAAACAGGAACTTTGGTCCAGTTTTACTTCATGAACTTTTACACAAATGTTAAATTAACTCTAGAACAGAGTGACTCATTGAAACTCTGAGGAAATGTTCAAACTGACTCTGTCAGAGTTAATTTGAACGAAATGATAATTGAAATGTGACGAGTCAAACTCAACCCTGAGTTGATTTAAAAAGAGAAAAGGTTTGAGAGTCGTGGCTCGTTTGGCTCTGAGGTTTTATGAAGCTGCAGTAAAGTGACTTTCGTAACTTTATGAGGTCAATATTAAATATGTAAGTTTATGATTATCATTAAATAATTGTCACCCTGAACTCGGAGCAAAAGTCTGTGGATGAGGGGGCGGGGCCCCGGACCTGCGGCCTATAAACGGTCCCCTCTGGGGCCCCTGCACTCACACTGGGACGGGGTCGAGTCCAGGTCCAGACCTGCTTCAGTCCTACAAAACTCTAGGTTCTTTTTAGTCCCGTCTTAGTCCAGTTTGAGTCCCGTCTCCGTCCCGGGTCTCGTCTGTCTCTTCTGTCTCTTCTGTCTCTTGTGTCTCTTGTCCGTGTTGTGATGTGTCCCGGCGGCCGCGGCGGCGGCGGCGGCGGCGGCGGTGGTGCTGCGCTGCTCCTGCTGGTGGTGCTGTGCTGCTCCCCCTACAGCAGTGGGTTCCTGATGCTGGGAGGCCCTCGGCTGCTCCACTCTTCTGATGGAGCTTTGGCTTCTGTTTGCTCCAGACTCCTGGACCAGAACCTCCAGGAGGAACTGAGAACTCAGAGAGGAACCGGAGTCACTCATTTTAGAACCCAACTGCCCCCAGAACTACTGCACACAGACCACAGGTACTACTACTACTACTACTGCTACTACTACTACTACTACTACTACTGCACACAGACCACAGGTACTACTACTACTACTACTACTACTACTACTACTACTACTACTACTACTACTACTACTACTACTACTACTACTGCTACTACTACTACTACTACTACTACTACTACTACTACTACTACTACTACTACTACTACTACTTGCTACTACTACTACTACTACTGGCTACTACTACTACTACTACTACTGCTACTACTACTACTACTACTGCTACTACTACTACTACTACTACTACTACTACTACTACTACTACTACTACTACTACTACTACTACTACTACTACTACTACTACTACTACTACTACTGCTACTACTACTACTACTACTACTACTACTGCTACTACTACTACTGGACCACTAGGTACTACTACTACTACTACTACTACTACTACTACTACTACTACTACTACTACTACTGCTACTACTACTACTACTACTACTACTACTACTACTACTACTACTACTACTACTACTACTACTACTACTACTGCACACAGACCACAGGTACTACTACTACTACTACTACTACTACTACTACTACTACTACTACTACTACTACTACTACTACGCTACTGACCACTAGGTACTACTACTACTACTACTACTACTACTACTACTACTGCACACGGACCACAGGTACTACTACTACTACTACTACTGCTACTACTACTACTACTGCACACGGACCACAGGTACTACTACTACTACTACTACTACTACTACTACTACTACTACTACTACTACTACTACTACTACTACTACTACTACTACTACTACTGCTACTACTACTACTACTACTACTACTACTACTACTACTACTACTACTACTACTACTACTACTACTACTACTACTACTACTACTACTGCTACTACTACTACTACTACTGCTACTACTACTACTACTGCACACGGTACTACTACTACTACTACTACTACTACTACTACTACTACTACTACTGCTACTACTACTACTACTACTGCTACTACGGACCTACTAGGTACTACTACTACTACTACTACTACTACTACTACTACTACTACTACTACTACTGCTACTACTACTACTACTGCACACGGACCACAGGTACTACTACTACTACTACTACTACTACTACTACTACTACTGCTACTACTACTACTACTGCACACGGACCACAGGTACTACTACTACTACTACTACTACTACTACTACTACTACTACTACTACTGCTACTACTACTACTACTACTGCACACGGACCACAGGTACTACTACTACTACTACTACTACTACTACTACTACTACTACTACTACTACTACTACTACTACTACTACTACTACTACTACTGCACACAGACCACAGGTACTACTACTACTACTACTACTACTACTACTACTACTACTACTACTGCACACAGGTACTACTACTACTACTACTACTACTACTACTACTACTACTACTACTGCACACAGACCACAGGTACTACACTACTACTACTACTACTACTACTACTACTACTACTACTACTACTACTACTACTACTACTACTACTACTACTACTACTACTACATTTAACTCTCAAAGAGTTCAAACAAAACACTTTTGTGTTGAAAACAACTCTGAACAACAGTTCTTTTACTGTGTACTAATACTACTAATACTTCTACTACAGTACTACTGCACTACAGACAGGACAGAAGAACTGTAGTACTTGTACTGTAGTACTTATACTGTAGTACTCTAATACTGCAGCTGTTCACAGTCTGACTCCTGTGAGCTCTCCCTCTCCCCAGACACCTCCTCTGCCTCACTCGTGTCACTCGTGTCACTCGTGTCTCTGTGACACTCGTGTCTCTGTGTCACTCGTGTCTCTGTGTCTCTGTGTCACTCGTGTCTCTGTGTCACTCGTGTCTCTGTGTCTCTGTGTCACTCGTGTGTCACTCGTGTCACTCTGTGTCTCTGTGTCTCGTGTCTCTGTGTCACTCGTGTCTCTGTGTCTCTGTGTCTCTCGTGTCTCTGTGTCACTCGTGTCTCTGTGTCTCTGTGTCACTCGTGTCACTCGTGTCACTCGTGTCACTCGTGTCTCTGTCCACAGGGAGGACTTGTCTTGTCTCCAGACTCTGCTGGACCGTGTCCTTCAGGCAGATCTTCAGCCCGTGTTGTTTGTGGACCTGTCCGTGGTCTTCACAGGGTCCAGACCTGGTCCAGACCTGGAGCAGAGGCTGGACGTGCTGTTTGAGCAGCTGGGTGGGCAGGTGCGCACCTGGATCCTGCTCCTGTCGAGCACCACTGTGAGGGAGCAGCAGTTCTACGCCGAGCTCCAGCGCATCTTCAGAAGACACTTTCCACATGAAGGTACGTCCCCTGGGTTCTCGGGGAGTTCCTGGGTTCTCGGGGGAGTTCCTGGGTTCTCGGGGGAGTTCCTGGGTTCTCGGGGGAGTTCCTGGGTTCTGGGGGGAGTTCCTGGGTTCTCGGGGGAGTTCCTGGGTTCTCGGGGAGTTCCTGGGTTCTCGGGGGAGTTCCTCTGGGTTCTCGGGGGAGTTCCTGGGTTCTCGGGGAGTTTCCTGGGTTCTCGGGGGAGTTCCTGGGTTCTCGGGGGAGTTCCTGGGTTTCTCGGGGGAGTTCCTGGGTTCTCGGGGGAGTTCCTGGGTTCTCGGGGAGTTCCTGGGTTCTCGGGGGGAGTTCCTGGGTTCTCGGGGGAGTTCCTGGGTTTCTCGGGGGAGTTCCTGGGTTCTCGGGGGGTTTCCTGGGTTCTCGGGGGAGTTTCCTGGGTTCTCGGGGGGAGTTCCTGGGTTCTCGGGGGAGTTCCTGGGTTCTCGGGGGGTTCCTGGGTTCTCGGGGGAGTTCCTGGGTTCTCGGGGGAGTTCCTGGGTTCTCGGGGGAGTTCCTGGGTTCTCGGGGGAGTTCCTGGGCACAGATTGTCAGTCAGGTTGGCGTCAGTTTGCCCCGGGGCAGCTGTGGTTTCACTGGTTTGTTCTTCTCCTCAGATCACGTTCTGTCTTTGGGGGTGAAATCCCGGGACCTGTCGTCTCTGCCTGAGCTCCGGTCGGACCTGGTGAGTCTTTCTAAACGGTCCCAAAGATGGCGTCCGTGTTTGCTGCGCCGTTTCTGAGCCTCTGTCTGATTTCAGCCCGTGGATTTCTTCTCCGTGGAGCTTCACCACGACTGTGACGTGGAGTCTGCGTTTGGAGACACGATCGCAAACATAAAGGTCAGTTAAAGTTAAAAAAAGAGCGCGTTTTATTTCACGTGAACTCGACCCGTTCACTTGAAAACTATCACTTCATGACATCACCAGGTGGAACAGAGAGTTTGGAGCTTTGCAGATGTAGACAGACAAATAATAAAGAGTCAAACAAACACGACTCCAGCTCTGAGTGACACCAGGAACATCAGAACATCAGAACATCAGAACATTAGAACATTAGAACATCAGAACATCAGAACACGACTTAAAGAGACAATCTTCTGTCATATAAAACCTTTAAATAAATCTCGATGTTTCTTTTCTGTTTCTCTTTCGAACCATTTTCTTCCCTGGAGAAAAACAATATGTAGTTAAATTAAAATGATTTAAATTCAGAACATTTGACTTTATCTCTGAGTCGAGTTGACGAGTCAATTTATCCACCGGTGGAATAAAAGTGTTTTTCTAAATTCAACATTTGATTTTGATTCTTATTTAAGTGCAGAAAGTTTTTATTTTTCTTATTTTAAATGCAGATTTTGTACAAAACGTCTTGTTCCACTGCAGATTATTTTACTTCAAGTGAAATTTACTCAAACCAAGAAAAAACTTTCTGAACTGGACTAGATTTAGTTTTGTCGGTGTTTAATCATAGTTTTGTTTAAACATTGAATCCAGAACAAACAGAAACTAAAATAAGAACAACATTTGAAATAAATCAGGTCTGGGTCGTGTGTGTGCGGCCGCGGCTCTTGGACATGTTTGATCTGATCTCATGGGACAAATAAAATTATATCACGGGACAAATTTGGCCCCTGGGCCTGAGTTTGACGTCTGTTCTAAAGTGAGTTGTGTTTTTCAGAGAGTGTCCGGACCTCGACCTGTTCTCATCTACTCCATCCACCTGGACCACTGCACGGACCACCAGCAGGTCCTGGGGAACCTGCTCACAGGTACCAACAAGTCCTGGACTAGTCCTGGTTTAGTCCTGGTTTAGGCCTGGTTTAGTCCTGGTTTAGTCCTGGTTTAGGCCTGGTTTAGTCCTGGTTTAGGCCTGGTTTAGTCCTGGTTAATCCTGGTTTAGTCCTGGTTTAGTCCTGGTTTAGTCCAGGTCTAGTCCAGGTTTAGTCCAGGTCTAGTCCAGGTCTAGTCCAGGTTTAGTCCAGGTCTAGTCCAGGTTTAGTCCAGGTCTAGTCCAGGTTTAGTCCAGGTCTAGTCCAGGTTTAGTCCAGTCCAGGTCTAGTCCAGGTTTAGTCCAGGTCTAGTCCAGGTTTAGTCCAGGTCTAGTCCAGGTCTAGTCCAGGTTTAGTCCAGGTCTAGTCCAGGTTTAGTCCAGGTCTAGTCCAGGTCTAGTCCAGGTCTAGTCCAGGTTTAGTCCAGGTTTAGTTCTGCTTGTGTCTTGTTTTCTGTCCTGACTTAACCTGCTGTAGTTTAGACTTGAACTTTTATGATCAAATCTTTTTTATTTTCAACGTTTACAGCGTCAAAATAATAAAAATAATGATCCTGAGGCGACACAAGGGTCAGAGCGACGACAGATAACGACAAATAAAACCGGATTTTATGACACGTTTATGATCCTAAATCACAATCAAAGTGTCGTGTGGAAATCCTGGCTCCTGGTTCAGACTCTGACTCAAACTTTATTGATCCAAAAGGAAAATGATCAAATGATCTGAACAAACACAAACAATAAAATAAAATAACAAAGAAAAAAATATAAATGTGATAATAAATCCTAAAAAAAAAAAAAAAGAGCAAGAGAGACACACATGAAATAAAACTGAATTATATAAATGTACAAGACAAAATAAAATTGAAAAATTAAAAATAAAATATAAAATTTCAGCTTTATACAAGAGAACAGAGGAAAACTGTCCAGGTTTAGACCTGGTTTAGTCCTGGTTTAGTTCTGGTTTAGTCCAGGTTTAGACTTGGTTTAGTCCTGGTTTAGTTCTGGTTTAGTCCAGGTTTAGTCCTGGTTTAGTCCTGGTTTAGTTCTGGTTTAGTCCAGGTTTAGTCCAGGTTTAGTCCTGGTTTAGACTTGGTTTAGTCCTGGTTTAGTTCTGGTTTAGACTTGGTTTAGTCCTGGTTTAGTTCTGGTTTAGTCCAGGTTTAGTCCTGGTTTAGACTTGGTTTAGTCCTGGTTTAGACTTGGTTTAGTCCTGGTTTAGTTCTGGTTTAGTCCTGGTTTAGACTTGGTTTAGACCTGGTTTAGTCCTGGTTTAGACTTGGTTTAGTCCTGGTTTAGTTCTGGTTTAGTCCAGGTTTAGTCCTGGTTTAGACTTGGTTTAGTCCTGGTTTAGTCCAGGTTTAGTCCTGGTTTAGACTTGGTTTAGTCCTGGTTTAGACCTGGTTTAGTTCTGGTTTAGTTCTGGTTTAGACCTGGTTTTAGTCCTGGTTTAGTTCCTGGTTTAGACCTGGTTTAGTCCTGGTTTTAGTCCTGGTTTAGTCCTGGTTTAGACCTGGTTTAGTCCTGGTTTAGTCCTGGTTTAGTCCTGGTTTAGACCTGGTTTAGTCCTGGTTTAGTTCTGGTTTAGTCCAGGTTTAGACTTGGTTTAGTCCTGGTTTAGTTCTGGTTTAGTCCAGGTTTAGTCCTGGTTTAGACCTGGTTTAGTCCTGGTTTAGTCCTGGTTTAGACTTGGTTTAGTCCTGGTTTAGTTCTGGTTTAGTCCTGGTTTAGACTTGGTTTAGTCCTGGTTTAGTTCTGGTTTAGACCTGGTTTAGTCCTGGTTTTAGTTCCTGGTTTAGTCCTGGTTTAGACTGGTTTAGTCCTGGTTTAGTTCTGGTTTTAGTCCTGGTTTAGACTTGGTTTAGTCCTGGTTTAGTTGGTTTCTGGTTTAGTCCAGGTTTAGTCCTGGTTTAGTTCCTGGTTTAGTCCTGGTTTTAGTCCTGGTTTAGTCCTTGGTTTAGTCCTGGTTTAGTTCTGGTTTAGTCCTGGTTTAGTCCTGGTTTAGACTTGGTTTAGTCCTGGTTTAGTTCAGGTTTAGTCCTGGTTTAGACCTGGTTTAGTCCAGGTTTAGTCCAGGTTTAGTCCAGGTTTAGTCCAGGTTTAGTTCTGGTTTAGTCCAAGTTTAGACCTGGTTTAGTCCTGGTTTAGTCCAGGTTTAGACCTGGTTTAGTCCTGGTTTAGTTCTGGTTTAGTCCAGGTTTAGACCTGGTTTACCTGGTTTAGTCCTGGTTTAGTCCAGGTTTAGTCCAGGTTTAGACCTGGTTTAGTCCTGGTTTAGTTCAGGTTTTTAGTCCAGGTTTAGACCTGGTTTAGTCCTGGTTTAGTCCAGGTTTAGTCCAGGTTTAGTCC